CTCTGTCACTCCTCTTATCAAATGATCGCTGACGACCACTTTTCAGTTCTTTACTTGGCGTAGTCGGCATCATCGCTCTTGTTGTCCCAGCACGCACGTTCGCCCTGCCGATGTTATTAGCTCTCATTACCGTGCTCTCAGCACTTTTCATATTCTATCATACTTATTGGAAACGAAGGAATCTACCGCCTGGTCAGTGACTCCTTGGCTCGATTTTCTTTCGTTTTACCTGAGAGAAATTTGGGTACTACTCACCTATTATGTCAGCACAGTTTAAAATTGAGGTTGAATTTTCACTGGAATTTATCTTTTATTCAGATGTCGCTTGGGAGATCAACGCAGCAGTGTGAATGGGGAAGGGGGGAGGGAGCCGTGAAAAGTCCACAAAAAGTCCACAAGTGAAAAATTTTTTTCCCAACGCCGCAAATTTCTTCCATTAGGCAAATACCAACAGTGAGCAAATACGACACCCCCTCATAGCGTCCGCGAAACAAGAAAAATCAACGACCAGAAAAATTCTCCTAGACTTATTACGACCCCCCCCTCCTAGTGACCAAATACGACTCCCCTGTTGGAGAATCCTCAACGATGATATGCCCTGATGCGGAAGCAGCCTTGAAAGAAGTGTCACCTACATCTCATTTGCTCCAGCGCCTAAATGATTTGAAGTGGAGATGCTACAGTGTGCCGAGTCAACCAGCTAGGGAATATTTCTGGTTTGCAGTAGCTTAAATCGCAGATTGGAGCACGTTGTAAGATGTGGATCCCCAGAGCGGGGGGAGGGGAGTGGGAGCAGGGATCCTATTTGGTTGGGTTTCGGTTGTTGACTTTCCTTTGGTTTTTCCTGTTTCGAGTGCGCTTCCCCTCCTCCACTTTAAGGCCGTTTTGTTTTTGAAGACTGTGGAACTTCTGGAGAAAACTCGAGGGGAAAACCTAGGAAGGTTTATGTATGGGAAGTAGCAAGCTGGGGAAACTAAGGTGGTGGCCCCATAGTATCCCATAGGTAAAATTCTGGGACGAGGTTGATTTTTACAAAACTGCCCCCTCCCCAACGACAGAACGTGCCCTGTTAAATATTCTATGGAGGTAGATATGCCTAGAAAATTGTCGCTAGGGATAGTTCAACCAACCTGCACGTATTTCGTGGCAAACGGGTGCGGGATTCTACTATCGCACTCGAGGTTAGACTCTATGTCAAGCTCTCCCTGGAACGACGTTTCGCCAATTCAGGTGACTTGGAGTGTTTTGGGACTGGGGACACTTTCGCTCCTCCTATTTGTGTGTCGAGGGAGGCAGGCCACCAAGGATAAGTAATCTATCATTTTCACCCTCGAACCCTGCTTCTAGCCTTTATTATAAATATGGAGTTCGCAAAAGGTGAATAAAAATAGAATTTTCCTAATGGTGCTAGAATTATAGTACAGTAGCTTGATCGTTTAGCCTTCCGATCAAGCTACTGTACTATATACTACATATATGCCGAGATTAATTGAAAGCCGTTCATGGTGCTAGAATTTTTCTAATGTTGGGTTGGATACTGCTCACCATTGTATCATTTTGTGCAGTTCGGTCTCCTAATGGATTAAAGTGCACCGGTCTTCTCGAAGTAACGGCCGTGCCTTGCTGGAGTGCCGCCGGTTGTGGGCGGAGCGGTCGCGGTGGGTGGGCGGGGCGGGCACAAGGCGGCAGCTGTTATTATTGTTCCATGAACTTTAACATTCGCTTTTTATGGAAAAAGTTATTCCCATAGTGATTTTAGGTCCAGTTCCTCTACCGTTCGTCGGCAACCTTCTCGCCCTTTATTTCTACGAACCCGGCTATGAAGCCTTCCGCCTATGGAAAGAAAAATATGGCCGATGTTTTACTTTTTGGATGGCCGATCGACCTGCTATAGTGATAGCAGACTATGAACTGATGAAGGAAACCTTGGTCAAAGATGGTGCTGCCTATACAGGGCGTCAGGATGTACCACTTTCGAAGATGGTGCGAGGTAAGTTTATTTAGCGGCTGCATCACATCCTGAAGGCGCGGTTCACGCTGGTCGTGTGGGTGGGGATGGTTGACCGCTTTACTATCCTTACTGACACGCCTTTCTTCACCATTATAGAAAACTGCACAAGTTAGAAAGATGCAATAGTGCGGTGCTCCGCCCGCAATAAGACCTCGACTCAGGAAGAGCATGGGCAGAGCCAGCCTTGTTTTTCTCACCGAGCACCTCTCTTTATTATCATCTCAAGATGGGTGTAGCGATTGAGAATGCACGAAGATAGACGGAGTCAGTCTTTGTCTCCGCCCATAGGATCAACGCGGACGGTTTTGTCAAGCATCTTCCATCGCTGCGCCACACCACCCAACAATTTCGATGCCCCATGACCTTTAAGAGGGCGTTTACATTTGGGAAAAGTTGAGCTTGCACCTAATGATTTCATTTTAGGAGGAGATTACGGAGTGGTTGAAACAAGTGGTGAGTTATGGCAACAGCAACGTCGGTTTGCCTTACATGTGTTCAGGGATTTTGGCATGGGAAAGGATGTCATGCAGGAGCGGGTGAGTAAAAATTATAAAATACAAGGATTACATCGACAGTGCTGTAGGATCTAGAGATGATACAACGCTCGACTTTATTCAGAAAAATGCTAAATAGTAAGGCACACTTAGGTCAGGTATAAGCCCAGTCGCATTTAGAAGCCCACGATCTCGAAGTAAGGGAGGTGAAGCTCCCCGGAAACAGATTTATCTGCGCCAAATGCTTTACCCGTTTTTGAGCCCATACAACAAACTGTAACGAGGCGGGTCCTTGATGGGGAGACTTTTCTGCTGAATACGCCCCTCCCGATTTCGGCTTTGTTGTAATGCCCCGACTTCTTCCTACTACTTGACATTTTTCCATTTTGTCATAAGATTTTGGCGCCGCGCGGGCGTGAGTTACACATATCCGACCAACTCTTTGGATTAGTAGCTTTGCGTCTCTGCTCACTAGGTGGGGAGAGAGAGGAGGGAGGGGGTCAGCGGGAAAGATCAACAATAAGGAAATCTCCCGAGCCAAGAAGCGGCTATCTCTCCTCCAGTGATCAGGTACGGCTCCGTTGGGAATTTTCAATTTATAACATGCCCTGTTTGCCACGACCAACCATTATAAAATCCAGTGCTTTTCTCCACCCATCCCCCTGATAGAATCCATATCTCGCGAGCGGAGAGGGCGCGTTTAGGGACTCAACTGGGAGTAGAGCGATAGCGGCGTACCGGAGGATGTCGCCGGATCTGAGCAGGAAGTTCGTAGCTGCCCAGCCGCAAATGGCCTGCTGCGCAGGTGTTCATGTCTCTGCACTAGATTGGGCAGGTTCATGTAATCCAATCACCAGTGCGCTTACAAGTTGTAACCTGTAACTCTGTCCGTATACACGCCCTCCCTGGCTCAGTGGCAGAGATTGTAACTATTGTCTCAATCAGGCGAAGCAACGGAAAGAGTGCTTAGTGGATCCGCGCGGGACTCAACCCCGGGTTTGACGTCTCGGTAACTATACCTATTGCACAGCTTTATTTCACACATGAATAGCTTATTTTCTTTAGAATCAAAATCAGTGCTATTCACTTCAGGTTCTCGACGAGGTGAAGGATTTCTTGAGAAAGTGTCAGCAGAATCCGGGTGAACCACTCGATCTCAGGGATTACATCGACAGTGCTGTAGGATCTATCATAAACAGTCTACTCTTTGGATTCAGATTTGATGAAGTGAGTAGCGTGGGTTTCTTTAAACTACACATTTCATATTTCGGCGCCCTTTGATTTAGGTGGTGGGGGGGGGGGAATGGGGAGTCTGCAATTTTGCTAGTTTCACTTTGTGACACCTGTGGAACTTTGTCAAGCGTGAACTTAGCTTATGCTATTGCATAGCTTTAGGAATCAACAGCTCTACGGGAGGCATCAGTGGCCGATGGGAACCTACGAAATACCCCCACCAAGCTGAACTTTTATATTCTTATTCATATTCTTCTTCTTATTCATATTCTTC